GGGTGCTTTTGGGTCCTGAGTGTGAACCTGTGCAGTCAGCGTCGCCCCAGTGGTTCTGTGCGTCCTCGGCTGGCCGGGACGGGGCACGGCCTCTGCCAGGCTCTCTTGTGAGCACTTGTCACCACGCTGCCCTGTGGTCCCATCTGACTCGGATGCTGACCTCTTGGGAACTGTCTTGGGCTGCGTCTTCTGAAGGGCCTCAGCACGCTGACTTGTAACCCTGAAGGCGCATGAGACGTGGTGACTGCCCCCACACCCTTCGTGTCAGCCTGCTGGTGGGAGGGGGCGGGCGGGCCACATGGCTCTCTAGCCCTTTCCACTCGGCCAGTCGCTGCCTGCCTCGTGCCCGCCGGCAGGACTCGGCCTTTTAGGGCCTTCCTGGCTGTGTACATGTCCGCTCCAGTCCCCTGTGCTACGCAGACCGGGGGCCGAGAGGCCAGGTGCGGCAGCGTGGTTGACGGTATGCACGCGGACCCCGGGTCTCTCACGGGTCCTGCTTGGGTTGGTGGCCCTGGGTCACAAGGTGGCGACTTCCTGCTTCTTCTCCCTCCTCCCTCCTTCCCTCTGAGTGTCTGCATAGACTTTTTTTTTTTTTTTTTTTTTTTTTTGCCGTACGCGGGCCTCTCACTGTGGTGGCCTCTCCTGTTGCGGAGCACAGGCTCCGGACACGCAGGCTCAGCGGCCATGGCTCACGTGCCTAGCCAGCCGCTCCGCGGCATGTGGGATCTTACCGGACCAGGGCACGAACCCGTGTCCCCTGCATCGGCGGGCGGACTCTCAACCACTGCGCCACTGGGGAAGCCCTGCATAGACTTTTAATTCCACGCTCGCTGTTGTTTTTACGCTCAGATAGTCCCAAGCGAGGCTGAGGGGAGAGCTCCCGGTCCTGTTGACACGACCCATTCGTCTTCTAGCTCTTTCTTGCTTTCTGGTGAAGAGAGATGCCCGAGGCCAAATCTCTAAGGAACCCTGACCCTTTGTGTGACCCTCTGTAGATTTGGAAACTTCTGTGTGCACAGGTGACGGGCAGTCCCCGCGGGTCTGGCAGCTGGCCAGCGTAAGCAGGCCCCTTCCCGTTGCACCAGTCGCTGTTGCCTCTTTCTTGATAAAAAGTTTTTCTACAAAAGCTCCAGCACTTCTTACAAGTCCATGTCATCTGACTGCTTTGCTCGCTCTTTACCTTCCTGCCGTGCCTAGGCCCCTGCGTGCAGTGCTCTGCCTTAGTGACCCGACTGCTGGAGGTCAGATATTCGGCATGAAGTCCAGTGTCGGGCTGCCCCCGTGAAAGCCGGGCCCCATGGGCTCAGTGCCGCCGGGTGTGCGTGTGCGTGCGCACGCGGAGTGGCACCCCATGGGCTGAGCTCACCTGCACTGCTGTGAGGGCGTGTCTTGTAAAAGCAGGATTTGCTGTGAGTCCTGAGAGACCCGAGGCTCCTGGGCCAGAGCATCTGCACAGCCCGACTTCTGAAGGAAACTCTGGGAAACTCCGGGACGCGGGATGGGGCCTCCTCGTCTGGGGTCAGCGCTTCACGCTGTTAGGAGCTGCCGGGGGCCAGTCCCGCAGGCCCGCCTGCGTGGAGAGTGAAGGGCCGCGGCGGCCACTGGAGGGCGCCCCGCGAACACGCCTGCTTGGAGGCTGGCAGTCGGTCACCCAGCCGCCTGTTATCCTGCTTAGAACCTAAAAGTGCAGTCCATCGGCGACCTGCCTCGTGGGCTCACGTGGTGGTGAGGGCGGGAGGTTTTGCAGTGGCCCTGCCCCCTCTCCCCATGGAACAGCTGAGAAACCCACAGGCGTGAAGGAAGCGCTGGGCTCTCAGTGTCCAGGGCGAGGAGTGTTGACAGATGGCACAGCTGTGTAAGCAGCCCTCCGAGGAGCCCTGGCCTCGCGGGAGCCCTAAGCGAGGCCAGTAGGTGTCTGTCCCCTTTGGAGGGTTGTGTGCGTGACGTGCAGAGCGGGAGTGAGATGCTCTGTCACCGTCTGTACTGTGGCTTTGGCCCCGCAGTGACGCAGGCATGTGGGATCCGACCTACATTGGCCCCGTGGACGCACCATGGGCCCTTGGACGGCTCGGCAGCTGATCCACGTAGGACTTACGGGCCCCCACGGCTGCGGGCGTCCAGACCCACGTGGTGCAGGGTCAGCTGTGAAGAGGACAGGAGCCACGGAGTAACTGAAGAGGCTGGGGTTTAAGTCATGACGGGAAAAACCTGTTTCTGTGATACTTTCTGCTGTTTGCCGACATGTCACACACCCCTGGAAATACACACATAAGAATTCAGAAATTGGCTAATAACGATCAAATAATTTAGTCTTCAAGCCTGTGAGTCTTCTTCAGCAGTTTCCTCTTTCTCAGGCACATATGCAGCAATTCAGACCATCTGGGTGGATGTAACAGGTTCGAAATGACAAAGCCCCCAAATTTCCCAGCTGACTTTAAATTCAGTAACTTGATGTGTAGTTTAACTTCTTAATGACTTATTCCTGGTTTATCCTTTGTCAAGTGCCTTTTTTTAAAAAAAAATTTATTTTTGGCTGCGTTGGGTCTTCGTTGCTGTGCGCGGGCTTCTCATTGCAGCGGCTTCTCGTTGCAGAGCACGTGCTCTAGGCACGCGGGCTTCAGTAGTTGAGGGCATGCAGCCTCAGTAGTTGTGGCACGTGGGCTCAGTAGTTGTGGCTCACAGGCTCAGTAGCTGTGGCGCATGGGCTTAGTTGCTCCGCGGCATGTGGGATCTTCCCGGACCAGGTCTCAAACCCGTGTACCCTGCATTGGCAGGCGGATTCTTAACCACTGCGCCACCAGGGAAGCCCCTCAAGTGCTTTGTATAATGGAACAAATGTTTGATATCTTGATGTATCTGCTACAATTAGCAAAAGATCCAGTTTCCTACACTAAATTTTATAACCTTCATGAAATAAATTCAAGGTTAAACTCACCTTTGGGATCTTAAATAATGAAGCATGGCAAGGTAGGTAACCTTTTGTCTACTGACAAAAATAAGATCGTTAACTTTAAAATCATAGTCAAGAAGTGTCAGTAGCAGAATTAACAACCTTAGAACATAAACTGGAAAACTTCTGGTATCTTGCAAATGCATTTGAAGAATATAGGACTGGTAAGTTAAGAAAACAGGATTGAGGGGACTTCCCTGGTGGTCCAGTGGTTAGGATTCTGCTTCCACTGCAGGGGGCATGGGTTCAATCCCTGGTCAGGGCACTAAGATCCCACATGCCGTGCGGCCAAAATAAATAAATTAAAACAGAGAGATTAAAAAAAAAGGATTGCGTGTACCATTCACCTTGGCTTTTTCCAAGTAGTTCCTCCTTCTCTTCTAAGTGGCTCGAGTCTACGGCTACACCACCCCGAGCCCCAAAATCAGAACGGCTCAAAAATTCACTGCAGTGTTTGGCAACGTGGCAGGAGTACTGGGAATCAAACCAAACATACTGGGACAGCAGGAAGTGACCGAGGTGAATTCAGCATGAGATCGTCAAGCAAATGTCTACAGAAAGTAGTTCTGTGTTGTGGCACCAGCGGCCGAGGCAAAGGTGGGCTTGTGCCCTGAGGCGCGGGGGCCCTGGGGGGGGGTCTGAGATGCAGCAGAGGGGCCTGCAGCTGAGACCCCACTATGTCCCTCTGTCACCAGTAGAGGTGGACGCCGGGACGGGGGAGGGACAGAAACGCGTGGCTGCTGCTGTCTGACACCTCCCTACCCAGGAGGCCCCCAGAGACTAGACAGCTTGCGACCAAAGCCACTGAGAAATTGATTAGAAATAAAGTGATTTCAGGCCCCCTGTCCTGTTTGGGGAAGACCAGCTGGGCTGAGCGGTGCAGGACTGTAGGCAGAGATCTGGGCGCTGGGGGTTTACCTTTTCCCAGGAGCCGTGGGAGCAAAGAGCAGAAAGGGAAGCGGGGGGGGGGGGGGGGCTTTTATTCTCAGCTCCCACGGGGCTGCCGTACCTGCCGGGACCCTGTGGGGCGCCCTCAGCACAGCCCACTGCTGGGGCAGCTGCTGGAGGAGCCGAGGGGATGGGGAATTTGAAGACAAATCCCACCACAGCCCGGGGCCCTGGAGGCGGCTGTGCTCTTGTCATCGACCGACCGGAGCTGCCCAGACACCTCTTCAGTCCCTCCCTCCCCATCCCCGAGGTTTACAGTCCAGAACCATCCCCAGGGCCACATCGGGCAGGGCGGGGACCATCCCTGGCATCCAGTGTGTGTCTGTGCTTTTCTGCACAGGCTCTTCAGCCTGGAGGGGAAACAGTCTGCACGTAGAAAAGCACTGCAGCTCACTCAGGGCTCAATTTCCCAAGAGACTGGGACCAAATGGGGCGATTTCCCCGGTAGATGCCACAGAAAAGAGCCAGCCTCCTCCTCAGGGCAGCTGGGTGGTCAGAGGTGAACATGCGTGTATTTATGTGGCAGAAGCCCAGGGGCTGGGGCAGCGCCCACCATCACATTCATCTTTCCTCAGAAAGGTACCCTCGTACCTTTGCTGCAAACTTGAAAAACGAATCTTTGTTTCTAGGGAGTTTGGGGGTTTCAGAACTGAGGGTCAGAGGGTTGTGGGGCAGTAATTTCTTCGTGAAGACTTGGGGTGGGGGAAGGGAGGCTCCTCTGCGCCCCGCCCCGTCGGTCAGGTCGTCTGGTCTGTACCGTCCTGTCTGTCTGTCCCAGGAGCAGGCAGCACCCTTGTGGCCCCGGTGACGCACGCCTGTCCAAATCCCTCTTTCCCGTTGGCAGTCCCATCGGCTTTCGGGTTAGGTTAGAAATCCTAACAGCACTTTTCTTCCTTCAGTTTATTTACTTTTGTGCACTTTGGGGACTTGTTTAGGACAGACCCACGCTGGCCCGGCGACAGCGGACGTGACCCGGGGGCACACCTGGGGTCAGGAGAGGCCCCGTCCGGACTCTTTGCCCACCACGTCCACGTGGACGCAAGTCGCCAGCAGCCCCGGCCCCGCGAGCCCACCACCCACCCATCCCCCAAGTGCGCTTCCGTGTGTTTCCTTCATTTTAATACCTTCTGACTTTCCTACCAAACGTCTCTTCATAAACAACAAAACAAGAGGGAGGGGGGATGGAGTATTTTAACAATACAAAGTATAAATAGTGGCGTTAGATTTTCGTCACTCATTTGAAAGCCAGACATGAGGCTGAGGGAAACAGGCTGCTGCAGGCGTGGACCTCAAAGGTGCCCGTAGGAGACAAGCACACACTCTGCGGGCGGCCAGGTACCCCGATGGCACAGCTCATCCTCACACCTGGCACCTGCTGCTCGGACATCACGGCCTTGGCCTGAGGGTGGCTTCGTGTGGGAGGACGCGGGAAGCTCCCAGGGGACTCGCCTGGTTCTGCCTGGTCTCCTGGGGAGAGGGAGGGAGGGAGCGGGTGATGCAGGGCCAGCAAGTCTCCTGGATGCCAGACGGGGGGTGGGGAGGGAGCAAGCTGCGGGCGCGGGGGACCTGGTCACTGCGGGCTGTGCCTTCTGCCACACGCCGTCTGCCCCTCGGTTGGCCGAGGCCCGTGGAGCAGCGTCTACGCCATCGCCGGCTGTGTCCCCGCTTCGTCCAAGGAGCAGCTCTGGTGCCCACGTTGCAGCTTCTTCCTCAGCCGCCGGAGTTTGCCGGGGAAGTTTCTGTCCATGTGGCGGTAAAGAAGCGGCACCACAGCGCTGCTGGCGAAGGCCAGGAACCTGGACAGGTCCTTGGCGAGGAGCAGCGCCCCCAGGTGGTGCCCGTCCGCTGGCCTCCCCCGCGCAGCCAGGACCGTGCGCCCCAGGAGCGTCAGGTAGTGGGGCGTCCAGAGCCCGAACTGCGCACACACGGTGGCCACCAGCAGCCTGTGCGCCGAGGGGTCCGGCTGGCCCGCATCCCGGTCGAGTGGCGTGTCCTCCTTCCGGATCCGTGTGAGGAGCACGAGCGCGTACAGCACGGCCAGGACGGGCACCAGGTACCCGCTGAGCAGCATGATGGCGTCGGCCGCCTCCGTGTGCCGCACCTGGGAGCACTCGGCCAGCCTGGCAGCCACGTGGCTGCAGATGTAGAAGAGCAGGGAGGAGAAGCCGGTGAGCAGGGCACCGCCCCACACGAAGCCGCACACGTGCCTGGTGTTGTAGACGCTCGACATGTAGGTGCGCGGCAGCGCCCGCTCGATGTAGCAGTCGAGGGCCAGCAGCGCCGTGGAGTACAGGGTCACCAGCGCCGCCACGTTGAACAGCACCAGCAGCGTGACGTGGACCTCGCTGCCCGCGTCCCACACAGCCCAGCTGGCAGCGCCGGGGCCCAGCAGGTGCGCAGGCGCCAGGGCGCCGAGGACCAGGCCAGCCGCGGCCATGTTGGCGAAGTAGACGTCGGGCATGGTCATACCGCCCGGGTCGTGCAGGTTGACCAGCAGCAGCAGGGCGTTGTAGCCGAGGCCGAGGGGGACGCCGACAAGCAGGTAGAGCAGCGAGAGGGCGGACAGGGCCCGCTGGACATGCTGGCAGGGGAGCTGGTCCTCTCCGCCCGTGCCGTTGAGTGGGCAGCTCCACATGGCGGGCTGTGGGGAGAGCAGCGCGTGAGTCCTGCCTTCGACCGGACCTGGGCCCCTCCCTGCCCCCTGAACCAGCTGGGACGGCCGGAAACTGCCGCATGCGTGTTTTCTGTGGTCGCAAGGTGGCGTGGCTGGAAGCTGTGAGGACCCTACCGGCCGCGGGAGCCTCCCTGGCCCCGTTTGCCAGGGAAACGTACAGCTCTTGGAGCCATAACGTGCCTGCTGTCACCTTTTGGTGATGGGTGGTGACTGGGTGGGCCACGGTGACAAAAGCCTGTAGAGGAGGGGGTGGACCCGAGGCCTGGCCTCCCGCGGCCCCGTCAGCCCCCTCCGTGGGAGCTGCAGCCCTGCTGGCGCATCCCTGGTTTCCCATATCAGTCGCGGAATCCTGCGATCACCCTGCTCCACCCTCCCCGCCGTCCTGCGTCTGGGCCGAGGCGTGCTGGGTCGGGGTGACGCAGGTCCCGAGCTGCTGCCCTCCTGCCGGCTCCGTCACGTCTGGAAGGGGCACGGCCGCTGCAGGGACACGGGTCCTCCCTCCAGAGCCCTGGGGTCAGGGGAGCCGGCGGGAGCTCCAGGCAGGTGACACGCCCTCGTGGGGTCCTCGGAGCCCTCTGCGTCCTCTTCTTGCCGACTCAGTGCTGGCTCCCTCTCTCCCACCTCCGTCCCAAATGCCTACAGGCTCCTGCCTGCTGAGCCACGGCCTGGAAAGTGGCTGGGGGCCGGGGAGCCGGTCCACCAGAGCGGCCTGTGCGTGCTGTGACCAGCCTGCGGCCTGGTCCCCCTCCACTCCGGCCTCACACGGCTCACAGGGCATCCAGCGGCCCCCGGGCCTCAGTCCCTACCCTCCTGCCGTCCACGCACTCTCACTCTGCCGCCACGCCTGCCCTGCCTCACTCCGGGCCCCACGTCTCCTGGTGCCTGGGCCACACCTCTGCACGCGTGGGCGTCCATCTGCGGGTTCTCGTGACGCCCCTCCTCCCGGGGCGGGTGCAACGGCTCTTCCCTCTCTGTTTCCAGCCAGTTTGAGGCGCGAGGGTTGTGTCTGGAAGGACCAGCGTGTGGGATGGGCAGCCCTGCCCTCTGGCTCCCCCCATGGCCCCACGGCGGGTCCACTGGCGCCCCCGTCCCTCCTGGGGGTCCCCATCCATGTGGAGGGCGGGCTCAGCCAGGGGAAGTCAACTGAGCAGAGGTTCTTGGAAACCGAGGACAGAAGGGGGGCCCTGTGGGCTCGTGGGCCACGGCCAAGGAGGGCAGGGGGAGCGCTGTCGGAGGAGGGGCAGAGCTGCTGCCAGGGGCCCTGCCCTGGCTGAAAAATGGCTCCGTTCTTGGGAGGTGGTCACGCGGAGTCAACCTACTGAGAATTTCCTTCACACACTCATGTGCTTGTACAGCCGGCTCACTCAGCCCGAGAGGGGCTGTGAGTATCTCAGGAGTCAGTGCCGGGTTTTAGATTAAGAACCTGCCCGAGTTTGTGTTCCGGCAGTTCATAAACACAGAACTTAGAAACCCTGCCCCATGAGCTACAAGCAGCTCTGTGTGCGTCCTCTTAGTTATGAACTATGAGGACACTTCTGATTTCAGGTGCAGATAGCGAGCTAAAAGTACCAGTTTGCACTTGCTTTGTGTCCATCTTTGCTTCTTGTCCCTACGTTCTTCCTGGAGGCCCCTGGTCTCCAGGTGTCATTCAGAGGGCCCAGGGCAGGGACACCTGCTGGGGGGGCCGCCTCATGCACAGAGGAAGGTGCCTGGCGTTTTCTGAAGTGGGGAGGCCCATCCTCACCTGCGTGGGCACGCAGGGTGAGAAGGGAAGGAAGCAGACGGGTGACACCGCTGGCACCGAGGGGACGTGTCACCGGGACACTTGCAGGCCGGGGGTGGGGGGCCACCTGGCTCAAGACTGCGCGGGCGGTGCCTGTGGGCTTGCAGGGGAGCTGGGGGATCTCATTTGGGGACGCTTGGCAGGTGGCACTGTGACACCCCCAGACCTGCCGAGCGGCAGTGAGCCTGGGGGGAGAGCAGCGGTCGTGTCGGGAAGTGACTGCCCGCCCCGGCGGCAGGGCAGCCGGTCAGGCCCGCTCGAAGCCCAGCCGGGTATCCCGAGGACGGTGGTGGGGGCGGCCGTCCTGCCCTGTCCAGGTCCCGGTGCTACTCCTGCAGGGTGCCCTGCCCTGCTGGCCACAGACTGGCCCTGCCTCCCCCCCTCGCTGCCTGCAGTCCCCCCACTTCCCTTTGTGCTCTGGTTTTGCAAGTGCTGGAATCTGGGAACAAGACCCTCCTCCCCACCCCCACACCCCCAGACCCTGTGAGGAGGGGGCCTGAGAACAATGGCTTGGCTCACCCCCTCCACACGGCTGGGCTGGGCTGGGCTGGGCTGTCTTTCCAGTTACCAGCTCTGTTCACTTCCTTCCCGAGAAAGAGGAACTGGAGAAAGAGGAACTGGAACGGCTGCCAGTGCAGAGACCAAAATTCCAGGAAGGGCCCTCTCTGCGGTCCTGCCCCTCCCAGAGGCAGGAGAGAAGAGGCCAGGTAGGCCCTGAGCAGCTGGGCTCCTTCTCCCCGGTGCCTCGGTGGGCTGTCCCTGGTGGTGCCGAATGTGGAGCGTTTGGCGCTTTTCATTCTGAAAGCTGCCACATTCTCCCCAAGTGGCAGGATTAATAATCCAACTTCTGATGGCCCCGTCACCTGCTGCAGCCCTCTCAGCTCCAGGGGTCAGCACGAGCAAGGACCCCAGTGGCCTCTTGTCCAGGCTGGCCTTAGGAACAGGCTGGTCCTGTTGCCCTGTCCTTGGGGCCTACCTGACACCTCCTGGTCAGAGCTGCCCACGCTGCTGCCCGCTGGGCCCCTCGAGGCTCCTGGGCCTGCCCTCTTCTGCGCCCTCACTCCC